AAAAGGAGACGAGTATTTTTTTAATGAACGGTGTTGAAGTGTGAAAAAAATTTTATGAAAAAATCAGGGAAATGGTTAGCTGCTCTTGAGTTCTGGAGGTGCAAAGGCAATGCCTCCAACCTGGAGGAGGAATGGAGATACTAATTTGGGAGGTTAACCTGTGATCTAAGCCTGAGTGAAAAAACCATTGGGGAAGGGGTGGGGTTAAGGAAACCCATCATGAGGCAGGGTGACCCAAAAACGGGAAAAATGAATTCACTATCATCCATTTAACTGCTGCCTTACCAGACATATACTGACATCATAGTCAGTTTACCCCCCATGTAAAAATAAAATATTACTAGCCCTTCTCAGTGTAGTTTTAAAAATTTTCATAGAAATTCACATTAGTTGGGGACCAATCAGGTGATAAATGATGCAGTGAAAGGGTTAGCTTAATATGAAAACAAATTTCATCATTATCACGAACTTGTTTGTACCAGTAAAGTGGTGAGGAAGCAAGTGAGCAGCACATATACAGTCCGTCTTCCCAAACTGTATACACAGAAGTTTCCTGTTATACCCATATTTAATAAAATTTTGTGCAAGGCAAAAATTGACAGTCCTCTAAAAACCATCCACTTTTGGTGAAAGGATATTTGATGTCTACCTCATGCAAATCCAATATTGCCTATATAGAAGTAGAATCCCATTTAGTGCCCATTCAGCAAGCGATTTTTAAATTGAAATTCAAGTGTTGCACCAGTCCTAACTGCGCAGGAGTGACACATTGTGCATACTGTAAAGTTTAAATAAATTAAGTAGGAAGGCAGTTATGAAGGTCAGTAACAATAATTACACATTCCTGTAAATTCATCAATGTGTTCCTACTCTAGCTCAACGGTTGAATACACTGGTGATTGATAATAAAGTGAATAAGTTATTAAACGAGCAAGTCGTATAGTGGAGGTATGATCTTGACTACATTTGCAGCCATGGAAAGCCTCTTTATGTAGCTCAGAGCCATCATGAACTGGAAATTGGTCCTCCACACTGCTAGGAGGATGACTCTTACCAATCAAGTCACTGCAGCCATTAAAAAGCAACAACCTTTATACAGTTTTATCTCCCACACTCATCGCAACCAAAAAATTTAAAATAAAAATAGTTGTTTTCATTTTTTTTTTTTTCAATACGCTGGCCATCTTCCACTGAGGCAGGGTGATTCCAATGAAGAAAAACTTTTCATCATTCACACAATCATTGTCTTTGCAGAGGTGTTCCCGATACAACAATTCAGATGTCACTCCAAACAGCAAATATCCCAAAAAACCCCCCTTTAAAGTTAGGCATTGTACTTCCCACCTCCAGGACTCGAGTAGAGTAACTGGTTTCCTTGAATCCCCTCACAAAATATCACCTTGATCTGGTCACATTCCAACAGCTCTTCCAAGTTCCAAAAAAACCATTCTTCTTCACTCATCCTATCTAATACACTCACACATGCTGCTGTATGTCCAAGCCCTTGCATACAAAACCTCTTTTACCCCCTCCCTTCATCCCTTCCTAGGACGACCCCTACCCCTCCTTCCCTCCACTACAGATTTATACACCCTCCAAGTCATCTTTTGCTCCATCCTCTCTAAATTTATCCAGAGTTCCTAACTCTACTTAGTGCTAATGTGTGTTACATCCCAATTTTCAGATCATACCTTGTGCAATAATACTCAACTGTGCACACAGGATAAGCAAACCATGCACAAGCAACTCCACAAAGCCTTGGTATTTCAGCTTTATTTTATATTTAATTATATGGGAGTGGCACCATTGGGTACACTGTACATTTTAAGGTAAGCTTAAATAATTGTGTATAGCATAAAAGTCTATTGTAGTAGAATTACTAACCAGTATTCAGCAGAACTTCAGAACACAGAATGGAACGTCAACACAACTACTTTCCTAAACCAAACAAAAATACTGAAGCAAAATTAATCCATAAATAATTACACTTACTTTTTTCTTGCTTTGGTAGGTTTGCCATTGAATGTAAGCTTCTTTGGTGCGACTGATAGCTTGAGTTTGGATAGGGCAGATGATGGTGAAAGTGGGGAATCAAGTCGTAATCTCTCCTCATTAAGTGCCTGAATCTTGTGGGGTGTTGGTGGACCTGTGAGAGGACTAGTGCCATCTTCTGCAGATATAGGTAATGAGGAGGTAGGTGTAGTGGATCGAGACAATACTGTAGACAGGACAGGATCTGAGGATGTCGCAGCAACCTGGCTAGGACATTGAGTTAATTCTAAACTTTTTGAGGCTCTTGAGGAAACTGATGCATTATTGTGGGAAGTGGGCGATAAATCAATTTGTAATGCCTTTATTGCCTGACTACGTGTACATACAGTACGCTTTAAAGGTGTGGTGAGAACAGAAACTGTGTCTGAAACACCAATATGGCCATTCATCATTTTTGTGGGTGTACTTGGTGCAGAAGTTGGGCGAGGCCGGCTTAGCTGAGCACTGGTCAATTCTGGATCCATTTTGCAGCTTCCCTGTATAACTGTTGCACCTTCAACTTCAGCATCATCAGCCGCTGGAGGAGACCTAGAATGACAATTTCATTTGTGAAAAGACAGTCAGATGAAATAGAAAATAAAATTGGAATAGTTTTTCTTAAAGACACAAGTAGCAGAGCAAGCCGTGTTATTAGACCGTTTTGCTCTAAAGGTGATTTATCAAGTCAATACAGAATCTATATTCAAACATCATTTAAAGTGTAAATTTTGTAGAACTGATAAATCCCTATTTAGGATGAAACACTGACTAATAAAAATCCTCACTGTTGGGAGAGTTTTGTTTTACACTCCTAGATTATTAGCTACTTGTCCTTCATTACATGAAAAACAGCGAATAAAAGATTTAAGGCCACTTAACCACTATATTATGTCCAATTGTTCAATATGACATTTTTAGTATATTTTTAAATATTTATACATTAGTGTACTGTATAATGTAATAAACAGAACAGAGGAAATCAGCTCTAATATACATTATTAAGTATGCATACTAGTCAGAGAGCCCATTTTAAGTCTCAGTCATCGGTACATGAGTATGTAAGTTGCTAAGTGAAAAGAGGCTGTAAACGGTATGACTTTTTTTTTTTACCATTTTGGTCTTTTAAGTCTATGCACAAGGAAATACTTATAACACTACAATTGTTTCATTTGTAATACTCCTCAAAACATGGAAATAAGTAACCCCGTACCTGAGGGGGATATATCCCAAGTACCTGTAGCGGATTCCGAAACCATGGATAGTAGCAAACCCTATATGCAAGTCCTTTTTCGTTTACATGCGTACCTATTATAAAAGCTTAACCTTTCAATGTCAATCCCATTATATCATGGTTTTGAAGCCAGAGTTAGTCCCATAGCATGATGCCATGAGCTTAACTAACTCAGATAAGCTTTGAGTGGTAAATCTGGGCCTAGATATGAGAGAATGGGTCTATGCAGTAATTGTGCACCATATGACATCACTTGTCCAATACATGTCCAACTGGCCAGCCTAATATGAATTTAGGAATGCATTGGCTTTATTTATACATTACAATAATACATATTCTGCATAACAGTAAGTCTGTTTTCTTGAATAAAACTTCAAAATGAAAAGCAAAAGTAATACAAGAGGGGCTTGGAGACTGCATCAGGAACAGAAATGTTTATTTAGTGCCAGTCATGTCTACACTGTTTATTCTGGACCCAATATTCAAATTGGCAAGTGCTGAATTATACACGAAACTGGCCAAATTAACGATTCCGATCACTCTATTGGATAGTTGAAATAGAATAGAAGGAATAGCAAAATAGTTATGAGTTTGGTGGACTGGAACAATGGAATTGGCCAAAAATAGAGCACAATGCGGACGAAATCACTGATGCGTAAATAGTGCCGAGACCGCTAAATTTGCGACAGCATAAAATTCCACAAGTTTTCTATCGAATTTCATACTTTTAGTTTCATTACCTTCAGGAAAAAATTATCATTCCATAAGATAAAATAATTTTTTTTTTTTAAATTCTTCGACCAATAGCAAACTGAGAGCAGGAGTCTCAACACTGAAAGGGTTAATTGATAAATTATGTTCATTAAGTGGAGAAATGTCAGTTTTCACTGATGGGAATCACTTCACAGCTTCTCCTAGGTTTTTAAGAACTTCCACCATCACTACTTTCACACTCTGAGACCATTGTTAAGCAAAATTAAGGATTAATTTTGGGCCACAGTAAACTGTGGGTAACTGAAACCGCAGATACCAAACCCATAGATACAGGGGTCTTACTGTATTTTATAACTGTTATTTTATTACATTTTTTCTATTATTTTAGTTTTCTAAGGCTATGAATAATGAGTACAGACTCCCCTACATATGAACATTCATGATGCGAACTTTCAATAATACGAACAATTTGCAGGAAGCGCAGAGATGTAAATGATACATAGTAGGTTACTCTAGTGGCATCATTCATGTGTGTGCTTGTGCTCTCTCCACATATTCAGTGTTATTTGTGATTACTGTACCCATAATATGTCTGGTGTTTAGCACAAAAGTAGTGGTGATGCAGGTGGTAGTGCTAAGAAGTGCCAGGCCATCACAATGGAAACAAAAGTGGACATAATAATGTATTTTATTATTTTTACCATGTTCATATACATACATGTTTACACTATGTACACTTCTAGGTTACTTGATGTTCACACGTACACATACTATACAGCCTCTCCTCACTTACAGACGTATTTGTTTACCGACGACTCAGATTTACAACGTGCTCTCTGACCAGTATGCGTACTTAAATAATGTATATTAGAGCCGATTTCTTCTATTCTGTTTATTAGAATATACAGTACACTACTGTATAAACATTTAAAAATATATCAGAAAAGTTATAAATGGTGCAAAGGTGAGATTAAAATAATATCAAAGACGATTGACATACCCACAACCATTATAGTATGCTCCTCACTTAGTGACGAATTCGTTTACCAACGTGGGTTCTTAGGAACAGAACCCCATCGCTAAGTGAGGAGACCTGTATTACTGTGCAATACTGTATACGTACGTATGTTGGACCTAAGAACAAATTGACTTACTAACGATTGCTTGGAACCGAACCTGTTCCTAAGTAGGGAAGTATCTGTACTTATACTACAATTATTTTAGAGTATAATATTCATCAAAACTTGGAAATTATTCATATTGTTTGATTTCGCTGGGTTATCCTAGGTTATATACCTAGCATTAGTATCACGAAATTGTAATAAATTTCGACTGAATAAGTCATCTATAAGCCACTTGCACACACAGTTTGTTGGTAAGAAACTGGTGATGGAACAACAGCTCCTGGTTCATTGTTTACTTCTGTTAGTGAGGCGTACTAGTGCATCAGACATACAGTCATTCCATGAGTAGTTGACCATGATATGTTGCGTGCACCCTGCGACCTTAGATTTTTTTTCAAATGTATGAACAGATGGAAGACGACACAGTTATGTCAAGGTAAAAAAATACTGGCAGGTGGCAGATTTGTGAATACAAAAAATGGTGAGTACTATTAGACACAGTACCACCACCTGCATGCTAGTATGTTGGACACAGTCACAAGGTTAACGGTTAAATAGAACTAGTACAACAGAGCATAGAGAAAAGTACAGTATTTACATTCACCACTGGTACTGTCATACTCACTGGAAATTATGCTTTTACAACTCTAAATGGTTCCTCCATT